ATTGCTAGATCCACCGTCTCCACACCTTCCCCACAATGCTGGCACACACCTTTCTCAGCTCCAAACATATTTCTCTCTTGGAGGTTACAGTATCGTGCTTCATTTTGCGGGGTAATGTTTCCATATCGTAGTCATTTTGATGAATTAACTATGGACGAGATTTTATTCGTCCGCATCTTGTATAGCTTTGCATGGTGGGTTTTCTTTTTTATTTCGCTATACAAGAACGCCTCCTGCGCTGTTGATACGTTTTCATCGGTACAATTTTCTACGAGGTTGTACTTAGTCCTTAGATAGGGTGCAATAATTGCCAGGTACGTATTATGAGCTTTCTTCTGCTTCCAATCATATATATATGTGGAAAACTTGTAAAGATGTAGAAAAGCCCGTGAAGGATATAGGTAATCACGTAGTCACTCCACACTCGACCAGTGTACAAGAATACAATTGCAGAACTTGACTGCCGTTTGAGTACAGCGAGAGTGTCGGAACACGATCAGACACGAAAATCAAGAATGCAAAAAAGAATATTAACCCCGAATTTATATCCTGCAATTTTCTATCAGTTATTTTTCAGTGTTAATATTTGAAAATTTAATTGAGCTAAATTTTTAGTGGATTAGTAAAAAAAGATTGTAGCATTTACCTTCTGTTCATTCTGAGTTGATTCTTCTTCAGCAACAATTTTCATGTTTTCTGTTTTAAAAGCATGTAAAGAAGGTTCTACAAAAGTTTCAGGCTCCAGTTCAATCTTTTTATTATTTTTTTGGTTCCTACAATTCATTTTGATAAAAAAGTGATGACATGAGGAGTTGCAAAATTTTGAAGTCTGATAATTATTCATTTTATCAATAATGTAATCCAAGAACTCCATTAACTTCATGGCAATGATTTCATCGAAAAACAGAAATTATTTGCAAAAATAGTGATCTTTTGTAAAATTTTAAAAAGGTTAAAGCATAAGATTCGGATGATTTAACAGTTTGTACTTCTACCACAGAAATAGTGTGGTAACCATACAAAATCAAGTTGTGAACAAATAAAGTTCATTCCATATATGTTTCACCAAAAATAAAATAAAAGTAGCAATTTAAGAGCTAAATTCTCAATTTGTTTGAACTGAAATAATAATCATTGAAACGCAAACGTAGATTCTGTTGTTTTTTCGATTTCCACAGATTCTGATGCAAGCGACAGTGATCTTGGTGAGTTATTCAATGTTTCTTCATATTTTTCAGACTTCATCATTGAAGTTTGTCTTAGTGCAACTTTTTCATCCGATTCAAAAGAACCTTTTCGAGACAGCAGTATTTCTCCTGAAGCTTTTCTGAATGGTTCGTTGTCTTCCTCAGGTACAGATGATTTACTAGACTGGATCTCACTGTTTTTCGTTTTCGAAGTTTTTCTTGATGGCACTTCCTTCTCAGCAATATCCTCGATAGCATCAGATACCTTTCGGGATGAAACTCTTTCTTCTGCAGCTGAAGTCTTTCTTGAAGATACTTTCTGGTCTGCAGAAATTTCATTCTCTACCACCGATATTTTTCTTGGTATATTTTCTTGATTGGTCTCTTCTTCATTAGTTATGTTTTGTTTAAGCGGTGGTCCTTCATCATTATAGTACTTCAATTCAGTGGACATTGGTGACGACATAGCCAACGGCACTATATTACCAGCATCCAATTCCAAACTTGAGAAATTGGAACTTAAAAATTATATCACAATTATAACAAACAAATTATGAAAAAATGCGTTATGGATTTATGTTAGAAATTTTTTTTTTTTCAAAGCGCATTTTTGTTATACTTCGAATTATGTATTTGAGAAGAAATATATGATAGAAAAATTTGAGAAACTGTTTGTCAAATGTATAGATCACTGATATGATCTTAAACAAAAGAAAAATAGTATTGGGGTAACTAAGCCAAAATACTGATTTTAAAGCGGTCTCTTACTTGCCCAATATTTCTAAACCTTCCGATTGCTCATTCTCTTTTGGGATCGTCACTGAATTATTAGCTGAAATTATTATATTTCAAGCAATTATTTTGCATTTACCTAATTATATTTCAGACAATATTTAAGATATCATTTTACTGTTGCGATAAAATTTTGCAAGCGAGATCTCAAGCGCATTCAATAGAAATAAGCTATTGAAACAGATATTTATGAATTTTAATAATTTTTCATTCGCAAGCATATTTAGGCATGTAATTTTTTATATTTCTTTATAATTTAGTTTGATACTAAAAATTTTTTCAATAGATGGGTTAAAAAGTCAAAAGTGACTAGCTGTTTTATGCTATATTTCATATCTTTTTTAAAAAAAGGTTATGGCATTCAATTATGATGGTAAGCGATAGAAAAAATTAAAGCAGCAAGTAGAAATAAATTTTTAAAAAGTAGAATGGTATTAGTGGAGTTAAGTTCTTCAGTTTTGATACAGAAGAATAAGGGTAGCTTAAAACTTTAACTTCTGCTAATGCTTTACAGAATGAATTGAATAATACATTAATGTGATGCGAAATAGCATTAAGGACGAGCAAGTAAATGTGGTAATAGTAAATAGAAATAAACGAGGACAGCTGAATATTTCTGTGTAGAAAATGACAAGCTGAATACTGAAAACTACTGAAAAAGTTTGCTCGTTTGTTTGCTCTGTACATTTCAATAACAGACCTAACAAATTTGAAATATTGTCGTCACTGATTGCATTCGTTCCTACAGGTAATGCTTCTTCGAATTCAGTATCCTTGATGGAATCTCCAGCATCATAATGTTTTGTCGGGATCTGTTTACCGAATTCATTTTCTATTTTTTCCTTTCCTTTTGCTGATAGAGATTCATCGTCAAACTCTTCTTGAGCTCTGTCTATTGTCAAATTCTGCAAATTTTATCTACGTCACTGGTAATATTAATTTTTTTTCGTTGATTTAATAGTGAAACCATTTGTCAGAACTTTATCAGTCTTTAAGGTAAAACTGATCAGGTGAAATGTTATGATTCACATAAGAATATTTTTTAATAAAATTCGGACAAAATTCTATCTTCACTGAAAAGATGAAAGGTCTAAAATTTAACGAATGAGATATATACTTTATGCTTTACTTTTAGGGTAGTAAAATCTTGATCAGAGCTTCAATTTTTTGACTGGTTAGAATAAATAAGAAGCGAAAATTGTAGTAAAAAATCATCCATAGTACTTCGAGGTTCTTGTTAGATTCTGATGCAATTCCAAACTGCTGTATTTCTATTTCAGTTTGACCTAATTCTTGCACCTCTTCTTCTGCAAGTTCTGATGACACATTTTGATGTTTTGACGGAGTTTCACTGATTTCGATAAATTCTTCATACTCTACAACTTCTGTGTCGTCTAATGATGGTGCTTCTACTTCTGTAGCTGGAGAAGTTTTCATATCTTCAGTTCCAGATTCAATTACTGTTTCAATTTCTTGTTCCATAGAAGCTAATGTTTCCGCACCTTGCTGAAATAAATATTTTATCTATTTTATTTTTTCACATTGTTATTTTACATATTTTTTGCTCAGTTAATCAGTTATTTTACATATTTTTTGCTCATTTAATTACCATTTGTATACTGAGGCGTAATATTTCTTACTAATTTTTTTTCATCCTTTTGCTATAAAACGTATTCTCGCTAATTTTTTCATTAATAAGTTAGGCAATTTTAAATGCTTAATAACCTGTATATAATAAAAAACATCTCTTGTGCGTCTACTTCACTTTTGACTATTTATTCTCATAACTATAAAATGTAATTAAATCATGTACTAAATTTGTTTCATTTTTTTTTACATAATTATGTGATGTTTATTCAGAATGACTTGTTTTTCCTCAAATTTCTTCAATTAAACAGCTGTTTCATGTTCTCAATACTATTTAACTTCTGCTAACCATCAACAAGCTAGTAAACATATGTCTTTTAACTTCGCAACATACGTGCTTTATACTTCAAGTTCATTCAGCTTTTTAGAACAAAAAATTCTTCCCATCCTTCCATTTAATCAGAATTGAATTGTAAGTTTGCAAATTTTCAAGTACCATCGAAATTAGTACCTTGTTATTTAAAAATAAAGCAAGTTTAAAAACATATGTTCAAAGAGCGTAAGAACTAAGCGACACATTAAACGAATATTATATTTTTGCAGATGTACGTGTATCACGCATTTACGATGAGCTCGATAGGAATAAAACTAACTGATTATTACATTTATTTTGTTTTGTTAATAATTATCTCTTTTTATAAAAATAAAAACGAATTATTACTGGTAAGGAACTTGTTGAGGGACTCATAAGAATTATGCTATTTCGTTGATAATGAAATTTAACAGTTTTTTCAAATAAAATAAATCATACTCTAGATAAAAAAACCATGATGTTCAACTACTCGATATTTCTGAATACTTCACAAATGTAATGCTGTCACTTTAAAAATGATCAAAGTCCCAATCACAAATTTCAAAATTGTTGAATGTTAGAGTAAGAATGGCAGAAGTAATATATCTTCACGCAAATCTCTTCACATGGTTGATTATGATTAAAAAATTGCCAATTTTTAGCAAGCAACTTAGTGCTATATAAATATAAAATTTGTTGAATAACAACATTCGCGTGAAAATGTATTACTTTCGCAACACAAGAAAATTGTAAATATTTGACAATTTGAGAATGATGAAAAAGACTACCAGCTATGAGCAAAATGCTTTTAAAAATTCGTACCTCTTCGCTTATTGGCAGTTCTTCAATTCCATCCATTGAAGTGACCATTACATCGGCATTATCAGTTCCTGTTATATCTGGTACCTAAAGAATAACTATTTCAATTTACATTTATCTCAACACATATAATAATTGAAATACAAAATACTTGCATAGTGAAAAGTTCAGAAAAATAATCGCAATGTAAGATTACAAACTGAAATGCTTCTGTAGGTAGTTATTTGCATTATAATATCTCAAAAATTTTTAATCAGCAAAAATAGGTTGGCTAAAAATCTAACTTCAGCGTTAATTTTAGTTGCAAATCAAAATTGCAGCAATTTTCTACAATATTTAAAAACAAATTTTATCTACATTATACCCAATTGAATTCTAGTACTACATTTTTAATATTAAGGCTGAGATTTCAGATTAATATTTAAAAGCAATGAAAATGTTGGTGCAACATGCACAAATTAAGCTGAATTTTTTCTGACTATAAGCAAGAATGATAGTGTTTATTTTCTATGGGTTGATAGGAAACAATAATAAGAACAATTTAAAAATCTGACAAATATTCAGTCACTCATTTCACCACTAATTATTAGCAAAAAGCATTACAAAAGCACTATTAACTTACAGTCACCCTTAACACTTTTTCTATTCTTTTGGAGCAAAATTTGGTGCGAGAATTGATAACCAATAAATGATCATAGTCAAGTAACAAAACAATTTACTATTAACTTACAGTCAAATTATCGAAGTTTTAAATATTTCATTTGCATACAATGTTGGTCACAGCGCAATTTGCTTACACTTGTAAATCAAATATTTACAAATGTGATTAGTGTGATGATAATTCCAGCGCAAAATTAGTGGCGGAAATTAAGAAAAATGAAAATTTGTCAAAATTTAACATTCAGTAATTAATTTTGATATGCTGCTAAGGTCACTCAGAAATTACTTTCAATGCTTTCAAGGATATAACACTTACTGTGAGAATAATAAAAATTCAAACAATGTATATGCCACGAGCAACATATTTGCGAAAAATGTTTCGTAGTAAAGCCGATTCCATATGTGGTATTAGAAATGATAATTTGAAAGTAAAAAAGAAAGTTAAAATTTGATACAAAGAGCAATTAGAAAAAATTTGCTAGCTTAACAATGGTATCTTCAACAAGTAAGAAGATATAAATCTAAAATTTTTTTGTGATTCAATACTTGGAAGGCAGTGCTTACTGTTTGTAACTGTATTTTTTTTAATTATAGAAAGTTTTTACCTGGTCTTCAGTTCTGTCTTCAGTTGCTTGATCTTCAAAGCCATCTACCATTAATTCTGTTGGCTGCCATCCTTTTGCTTTTGTTCCATCTAAATACAATACGTTAAATTTGCAATTTTTTATTGTTTAATATTAATTTTTATTACATATAAAAACTGTTTATTATATAATACAATTGTAAGTTAAGTAAATATAGTATTGAAAATATAGTGCTTTTGACCTCTATTAACAGCGTTTAAAATGTACTATTATAAAAATTCGCTCATTAATTGATTCAAACTGAAAAATATTTATTCATTTATGAAAAGAGCGCGCAAATTTTTGAATTGTGTTTTCATGTTTTCCATAAATTGAAAAATAATAGTGATGTTTATATACAGCATAAATAAGCATGATCAGCTGCAGACGACTCATTAAAAACTTATTCAGAAAAAACAATCTATACCAGATGGTATGCTTTTATTAATATCTTTTTGATTTAGAAGCTCAGTCTCAACTTCTTGCTCAGTTTGGTCAATATCTTCCTTTCCCATATCATTTCCTTCTTGCTCTGATGATTCTGCATTATTTGTTGTTGATTCAATAAAACTTTGAGCACTTTGCTGATCTTCCAATGTTGATGGTACTTTTTTTGCTTCGATTACCTGAAAAAATCTTTTTGCTCCTTCGTTTCAAATTATCATATTATTATTATTATTATTATTATTAATTATTTATTTTTCCAGTTTACAATTTCTGTGAAAATAGTATGCAAAACTAATTTGCCATATTTAAACAAACAAGTAAATGTGATAAGAAATAAGTAATAATTTTTGTAATTTTTATTTGATTATCTTGCAATATCATTGATATACACAAGTAAAAACCTCATCTGATTCACTTCCTGTTTCCATGCTTGCATCATTAGGTACAGTTTCAATTTTCAAACTTTGGACAAGAGTATTTTCATTATCCTCAATTTCTTTCAAACTTTCAACTTCTTCCACTTCAGCTACACTAAAACAAAATGACATCGATATCTCGCAAATCGCGATGATTACTTAAACTTAAAATTTTGAAGTTGTGATTATTCTGATATTGAAACTTTTAAATTTTTGGTATTTAATTAAAATTCAAAGGAATTGCTGAAAAAATTTAGAACAATATTGACTAAACTAAGACATGCAACTCACTACCTTTGTTCTTCATTTTCTATGTCAGACATTTTTGCTATAATTCCAGAATATTTTAAATTTCCCAGTATAAGCGATTATTTTTTTCGTGATCAAAAATATTGAGTGAAACTAATTGAGGAAGTACCGTAGCTCTCTCTATTCTTCCTACAATAACATTCTTCACATATAATTATATCACTGAAAAAAGCTTTGCAAAATCATTGAAATCTGATTTACTAAAAAAAAAAGTATGCTTAGTACGTTGTAAACACGTTATATCCATAGAATCATGTAATTGGCGAATAAAAACTACTCAAAAACTTTTTAATTTACATTATATTTCAGTTATCAATTTGAGTAAGGCAAAAGCAAAGTCAACATTTCAAGCAATATAGTCTTACTTGACAAGTGAGGATCACTTTTGAAGACTGAACAAATTAATCATGAATATATATTTTATGGAATTCAGTTGATTGTGTTAAGAAAAGACTTTTTTTTTCTTAAATCTAAAGAGTAAAAGCAAATAATAATCCTGCAATTTCTTTTTCCCGTTAAAGTAAGCTGATGAAATCAAATTTCAATTCGAAACTTCAATCCATTGATCAAGGCGTATATAAAACGTCAAAAACGATGAAATTCAAGACTTGTGATAGAAAAATTTTAAATCGTGATTTTAAAATAATGAAACATAACCAAACAGGTTAAAAATACAAATATGCCTGCAGTTACGTATTAACTATATCAATTAAAATTTTGGTATTAAAAATTGAATTAAATAATGCAGCAAAAAGAACATTTAACAAATATTCGCAGATTATGTAAAATACTAGTATTTATTATAATTATCAATTTCAGATAAATACATCGTTTCTCGCTTAAGTGATGCGATTTTGGTGATGCAAAAATAGAATGCTATAATTTTAGCTTTCTTTTTTTAAAAGCTGCCCACGGAAAAAAAGTTTTAATAAAGAATATTTTTGAAAATCAAAAGTCAATACGCAACATATTACTGCACTTGAAAAATTGCTGAAATAAGTCAAAACGTTATGCTTCACAATTGAGTGCATTTGAGTGCTTAGTATAAGAAGAAAATTTTTAACCTAAAAATAACGACGGCTATGCTTTTGAGCGCTTATAAATGAAAAGAAAATCATCCAAGAATTAGAAGTCTTCCTAATAATTGCCAAAAAATAGATGATCATGAAGAGTGACAACTAAACAGAGCAAAAAACTATGGGTGGATAATACGTAACGCTAAATTCTCCCTTATAATCAAAGTTTTTAGTGTTTGAGACTGAAGACTTAAGCATAGATTAAATGCCAAGTATTAGCATCTTTTTGACGTCATTTCCGCTTTAAGGTATTCTGGATTTTTATACGCATAAGTACTTTTAATGGAAGATTAGAAAGTTTCAAGTGAGAAAGAAAGAATAATCGATCATTGCAAAGAATGTAAGTAGTAGATGATAAAAGCAAAGGAATTTTTGATAATAAATTGTCTTACTGTAAAAAATAATATTTAAAGTAATCAATAGCTGAGTAACTGTTTTGCATTCTGACATCAGTCTTGTGCTTGGTATTTTGCGTTTGCCATACTTTGTTCAGAAAACAGAAAATTTTAAGAGTTACGTCTGAACAACAAAATATTGCTGCTTGTGTAATAAAAGTAGAATGAAATAATTTGCTACATATTATCGTTAATTTTAAGTACTAAAAAGTTTTAAATAATCATTTATTCATTTTATTGTTTCATAGAATGAATAAATGATTATTGCTTGAGACAAATCAAAAAAAGTATTTCGAAACTTCAAAAATTGCACTAATCTGATAGTGGAATGTTAATATTGTCCTTCTTTCTGACAAGGCTAAAAATAATTTGAACTATGAATGATCACAAAGTAATGGAAAGCAAGACTTTCATAGTGATAAATAAGAAAAAATACTCAAAATCAAACAACACGTGAGAGATGAAAATACACACTAAAATTTGTTTGTTTTTATTTGAATCAAAAATATCACTTTTTTGTCAATTATTACATGAAATAACATGAATTTTTAATCAAAAATATCACTAAAAAACTGAAGTCAAAGAAGTAAGTGAAACATTATTGACATTTTGATTGGCCATTATAAACATTATAATCAGTATATGTGTTTTTCTTGACTAAATTGAAAACTCGTGGTTTCATTCGTCAAACTTGCAGTGTCAAAAATGATAAAATGATGAGAAATGGACAAGTACCATGCCCCAACTTACTTTATATGTTACTGTCTAAACTGGAGATAAGATTAGCAAAAAAATAATGAGCTGAAAGTGCGATATAATAGAAATAATTTGTAAAATGATACCCAACAAAAAAGAAGAGTTGAATTACAACTCTTTTCTTCTTTTTACTCTGATACAACGAAATTTTTAAAATTCTTATCTATGGATAAACATTTTTGCAGTGCAGAAAATATGTACCGTTTAGTTACACAATCAAATTAATAAACAATTATGCAAATAAAATCATTCAGTACACTTGCCAACATTGTTATAGCAGTTATTCGTTTTTACTGAAATATAAAATAAAACCAATTTAATATCAATCAGTACAAATTCATATTTTTATAATCTTGATGCTGCCATGTTTTATTGATATATTTGACATGATTTGCTTAGTTATTAAACCGCCTAGTTTTGCTTTGTATTACTAATCTGTTTCCAGAGTCAATGTTATGAATTTAATTGACAACTTTAAAAGAATAAAATTAAATTTTGAAAAAAATTCATAAGCCATTTTATTTACAATCATAACTTACAAGAACGATTACTAAGCGTAATTTGCTCATTATTTTATCACAGATAAATGATGGCAAGACTTTTATATGCATGGAAAAAAATTAATAAGATGTTTTAAGAACTAAATAATCTTAGATATGTTAGTTTAAATAAAGCCGGATGATCATCAGCCGGCTGAAATTGCATTCTCGAAAAGCAAAATCGTTCTCTTTATTTGCTAGCTCATTTCTCTTGGTTTTGCTAGTTTTTTAGTCGTTTAACTTGAGATTGAATAGTACATCACGTTTTGTTAGCTCAGTAGTTAGTTTAAAATATTTTGATCTAGTCCACAAACTCAAAAATGCATTAAATTGTGCTTCACTCAAGTTTCATCCCATTATGAACTCTCGTTGAATTTTTCAATAAACATCTTAGTAAAAGAGATCAGTAATCAAATTTTTTATCAACTTTTATAACAGCCCTAAATCAAAATACTTTTTTATCATTTCGTTAATGAAATAAAAATATACCGCTTTATCCATCAAACTCCATTAACTATTTAAAATACTTTGCAAAGCTATTACATTCAACATTTTAGCACTTAACAGCTCCTTTTTGAGATTCACAAGGTGTCTCTTTATCTATTAACATTGATTGCTCTATTGATACAAGCGAAATTGTTAAACAGATCGCAATCAGCGAAATTGATTAATTCATGGCGTAGTTAGACAATTCACTTAATTTTTCTGCCAATAAGAGGAAAATATTTTAAGCAAAGTATTTATGGTTAAAATTGCTTGTAACAAAAGTATGAAATGTGTCAAAAATTTTATCCATTTTTCAATTGGGCAGTAAATATTACTTAATGAAAAACCGATGGCCTTAATTTGTATGGCAGTTCGCAGTACAGTAAAGAGATCAGTAATCAAATTTTTTATCAACTTTTATAACAGCCCTAACTTATCAGCAACAAAAATTAATATCAGTAGATCAACAGAAATCGAAGAAGTTATTGAATATATTTTTATCATAATAACTTTTTGCATATTTACTTAAATATACAGTAAATAGAAACACTGCAGTTTGTTATAAAAGTATTCCCTTCCAAAGAAACTACTTTAAAGTTGAAATTGGAAACCTTAAAAGTTTAAAGTAAGAGCTACGATAAACAATTTTGATTTAACAAGAGCAAAAATATTATCCATATTAATTGCGTCATCATTAAACAATTTGATCTTAATATCAAAAAATACAAATATGAAATAAGGCATTGACATATAAAATTAACTTATACATGTTGTGTAACTGGTTGTTACAGCATTATTATCTCGAAAGTAATGAAGAAAGCTAGAGTAATCAAAAGTTTAAACTGACAAAATATACGAGCTTTTAAAAAAATTAACGCAATTTAAATTTGGCAAAAAAATTTTTTAAGTGCTTACAAAAATAAAAACATTAAAGGAGTATTTACCGGCAAATTGTATACGAAAGAATATTTTTGATTTTTAATAATTTCGCCAAGAAATAATTTATAGCAACAGCAGTAGGAAGACACGCTAAATATAAAACAGAAATAAGCAGTTTTTCTGAATATATGTGGAAAAAATGAGATCGATGTAAAGCTTTCAAGAAAAAGAAAGAACTGAAAGTGAATAAAGACAAAATGAGAAAGAGGAGGACACTGAGGTCATTGCAGATTTTGAAGTTAACTTCAGATAGCGTTCTAAAGAATAATAAAATATCATGCTTACAGCATGAAAGTCTACGCCGTACTTTTCTCGCGAACAATGTCACATCTAAATAAAGCGTGCTTTTTGCCTTGCATATTTTCTTGATTTTGCACATTCAGCTACCTCAGAAAAAATATTTTGACTTATATCACAAATCCTTTACAGTAGTCTGATATTAATCTTTTTTTTTCATGTATTTAAAAAAAGTTCGTGCTCATTTTATTTGAAATTTAAAATTAGACGCATTCTTGCACAATTTTTTCGTTTTTAATTATTTGCAATAAATCTTAATAATACGTCTAGTATATTCAAAATAATTTAAGCAATGAATTGCTTCGATATAAACCGCAACATGCTGCAATTTTTTGGAACTCTAGTTTATTACATATTTTTTGCAATAATTTTTTAAAATCGAAACTAACTTTGCATCTTCCAAAATTGTTTACTGTTAATTACACTGCATAAATGAAAAAAGTTTAAACTAAGTCTACAACTTACTTAAAATTGCATCTTTTTAAAAAGTTATCCATTTAAAATTTTTACTTCTATTACTAGACTT